GTTCAAATAACTACTTTATGAAATGTAGCTATTTCGTTTCTACGCCATATGATCAAATATTATGACATTCTGATAAATTGGTTATTAACCCTCCTCAAACTATCTATGTTCTAACTGGTTGTACATGTTAATTATATTATTTTTAAAATCCTTTATAATTAAATTGATTAACATATTATATTTATACAGATGTGTATATATTTAATAGTTATAAAATGATGAATACTAAACTGTATAGAATATTAAGATTATATCTATTTATCTATCATAGTATTTATAAAAGCTAATAAACAAGGAAATTTCATTGAAGTGGTACTTTGAGGTTTTCTTTTTTTGATTGTCTTCAGTGTTTTTTCCTAGCATATGTAAAAATCAGTAATAAACATGAGATAATCGAGAAAAATTTAGAACTAGGGAAATGGGTACAACATTAAACATATATTATTAAAATAAAATAAATAGAACCTATTTAATTATTTAACTGTATGCCATATTTATTGTTGATAAACCGTTACTATCAACCGAAATCTGCTCAGAATTGTTTTTTGAAAAGTAATGTTTTATCGTTGCTTACAGGTGTATATTAAATTATTTATAACAGTGCCTGCACCTGTCTTAAATATCTTAGGACATCGTTTTTTTTTGTATAAGCTTTCTGTAAAACTATGATAAAAATATAGATTTAATCGTATTGACAGTTTTGTGCTCAACATTGCTAAACCAATTAATTATATACACTTGTGTATAAATATTATATATTAATTAATTTTATTATCTAGAACATTTTAAATAATGTGATTTAAATATACAACTAGTTAAAACATAGGAGTTTTGCGACCCAGTAATGAGTAATTTATCAGAATACCATTTTATTTGATCATGTGGCGTAGAAAGGAAATATCCGCTTTTCAAATAATTGTGTATAATTAACACATTTCTGTAAATAATGCAACTCACTATTAAAATTTAGATGAATTCGATGATTTATTCTTTTGTTACGGTACATAAGCCCGTAATCTGCATTGAAAACTATAATTATACTGAACCAGTTTTACAAAGAGACGGTAACATCCCATCAATTCGTAATCTCAAACAGGGATTCTCGTTTCTTTACTGACCAGCGTCAAACTTCATTCAACGTCCGTTCAATTGGATCAGAATTGTTTCAACTACAAGAAATTAAATAAACTAATTTGGTAACATTATTCGTCACGTATTATAATGAAGTTGATGTTTATTATTAGTTCGCTGTGTTATATTGTATTACTGTATGTATTTTCAACGAATGGCGAAGGCCATTGTGGCGATGACTGTATTATAGTAACCCCATTAATAGGCCCCGCAGACTGTTTTAGTGAACGTACAAAGAAAAAGCTGTGTACTTATTCACCACCAGGGTGCTCATGTTGTTGTCCCCCCTAAAAACTGCGTTAAAAATACATACCTATGAAAAATAAAAATGAAATATATATCATTTCCAAAAATTGAATTCTATGCATTTTTGATTTAATAGTGCACATCCTTTCACTTAATTAATAAATTCTTATTATTAATTTCTTAACTAAAGAAATTAAAATTTGTTAAATATGATCAAATGTTTACAATATTGGTACATAATTTTAGTACCAATTTTATGTACCTACTAATAATTTAGTGTATAAATAACCCATAGAATGTAACTATTTACTCTTTCATAAGGCAAGTTGTCACCTTTTTACTGACCACGTTTAATATAATATATTGTATAAAATTAGGTTATATTTATCTCAATTAAAGTTTTTATCTAAATGTGACTACTGATTACGATGTGGCTCTATAAGATGGAGTAATCGCTTATATGAAAATGNTCCTCTCCGGATATCGTGGAAAAATTTCATCAAGATTCATGAAGATTGGATGAATAGTGTAGATATCCATAAAGGAGAATTGAATGTTATTCATATCACACCGAATTCAAATACCAAATTTGACTTTGCATATTTTGCATATTCGGAGGATTGTTGCATGTTAGTTCATAAATGCATATAACATGTATTTATTATTGGTAAATCAATTTTACTATAAAAAAAAAGTTGTTAACATTGATTTTCAGAGGAATTTTGTTAAAATATTGTTATATTTGCCACAGTGTATGAAAATAGAGTTCTAATTTATGACTCACCGTCACGTGTATCTTAGTGTTATCAACTTATGAATTAATTTATCATTCTTGTCGTGTATGATGTGTCGTTATATTTTAAAATCATGTGTGGTAAAAATCATGTGATTTTAGTTTTATTATTTTGAAAGTTTATTGTTAGGTTTTCAGATATGTTATTTTAAATAATATAATACATAATAAATTGTTATTAAATTTATTACTATTCTTGGTGTAATAGTGGTGTTTTATTTTTTTAAATAAATATTCCACCTTTTGTCACTTAATTAATATATCCTGTATTTCACATATCATCACTAATGAGACACGATCAATTACTTCAGCAATATTAATGGAAGGCGGGGTTATATGATACAATATGGATATTTAATTCTTATCATTTTCATATAAGCGATTACTCCATCTTATAGAGCCACATCGTAATCAGTAGTCACATTTAGATAAAAACTTTAATTGAGATAAATATAACCTAATTTTATACAATATATTATATTAAACGTGGTCAGTAAAAAGGTGACAACTTGCCTTATGAAAGAGTAAATAGTTACATTCTATGGGTTATTTATACACTAAATTATTAGTAGGTACATAAAATTGGTACTAAAATTATGTACCAATATTGTAAACATTTGATCATATTTAACAAATTTTAATTTCTTTAGTTAAGAAATTAATAATAAGAATTTATTAATTAAGTGAAAGGATGTGCACTATTAAATCAAAAATGCATAGAATTCAATTTTTGGAAATGATATATATTTCATTTTTATTTTTCATAGGTATGTATTTTTAACGCAGTTTTTAGGGGGGACAACAACATGAGCACCCTGGTGGTGAATAAGTACACAGCTTTTTCTTTGTACGTTCACTAAAACAGTCTGCGGGGCCTATTAATGGGGTTACTATAATACAGTCATCGCCACAATGGCCTTCGCCATTCGTTGAAAATACATACAGTAATACAATATAACACAGCGAACTAATAATAAACATCAACTTCATTATAATACGTGACGAATAATGTTACCAAATTAGTTTATTTAATTTCTTGTAGTTGAAACAATTCTGATCCAATTGAACGGACGTTGAATGAAGTTTGACGCTGGTCAGTAAAGAAACGAGAATCCCTGTTTGAGGTTACGAATTGATGGGATGTTACCGTCTCTTTGTAAAACTGGTTCAGTATAATTATAGTTTTCAATGCAGATTACGGGCTTATGTACCGTAACAAAAGAATAAATCATCGAATTCATCTAAATTTTATTAAATTAAATTAAATTAAATTAATTTAATTAAACATATTTATATGATAAAACGATTTTTTTTTCTGAGGGTAACATTTACACCAAAAAATTAGATCCAATTTCTAATGATAGCAATTCTTCTAAATAAAATTTTTATTAGTACATTCAACTACCTATAACAATGGCTGCATCCGTAACCATTAAACTAAGACGTGTTTTTTGTTTTATTAGCTTTTAGTAAAACTATGACAGAAATACAGATTTAATCATAATATTATAAACAGTATTGGGCTCAAAATTACTATAACTATTACTTTTATACACTGCTGTATAAATATAATATATTAATCAATAAAATTATCTATAATTTTTTAATAATTTAATTAAAATGTACACCAGGTTGGAACACACGGGATATGATAAGCTGCGATAAGCAATTTATCATAATACCATTACATTTGATCATATGACATAGAAAAA